GCTGTGCCGATTACAATAAATCCTCCCAGGGAGGCCTGCTGCTTTCACCGCTGCTGCTGCCTCCTCCTCGTCCTCCCTGGAGGGAAACCGGTTCACTTGCTGCCAGGGATAGGCAAGGGACAGGTTTTAAGCAGCCAGCAGCTCCGAGCACAGCTCTTCCACTGCCCCCAGCTCTCCCACCAGCTCCCCCCCTCAACGAGGCCCTTTAATTTCCAGAGCCGGACACTCCTCGGTCCCTTCCTGGGGACTCGCCCCCAGCAAGGCGAAGCGGAGCAGAGCCCCAGCACGGCTCAGGCAAACTGCGGCTCGCTGTTCATCTGCGAGCAGCACGAGCGAATCCCTCTCGGTTATCTCCGGGCTTTGTAGAGAAGACATCAAACACCTGCTTTTAAGTTTGAAGGGGCAACACAGGAACACACGCATGACTCTGCACACAAAACCTTTGCCTGTTCTTCCTCAAATACACCCCGTGCAGCGCACACTTGGTGTTTTGGGACGAGAGGGTTTACCCCAGCGCGATTGCGGGGAGCGTTATCGTGCGGGATCTGTTTTGCAGAGGAAGTATTACACAGGGCGGGAGGCTCCCACACCCCCGCGTTTCACGGCTCTTTCCTGAACGGGTGACACATCCCACACCGTCTACTACAGCTTTCGGTTCAGTCAGACAGAGGCTCTCGCCCTCTTTGATGTCCAACGCTTTCTAGCCAACACAACGCAACTCCTACCCGAGAGAAGCACCTACCGGTACCGCTGGGGTTAACAACTTTCAGCCTCGCTACACCCAACTGCGCTTTCTCCCCTACAAGTTAAATAACCTGCAGCTATTTCCGATGCCTGAGCAAAGTAGTAACATTCAAAGCGGGAGTACGGCAAAGCACTGGGTTCACGGTGGCAGGACGGCACTTCGGCATCCCCGCGGAGGATGCTGCTGGCCTCCAAGCTTGCAGAGAGGCATCTGCAGAGGCCGCGGCTCCTGGCACACACCGCCACGCCGGGCATCACCGCGTGAGATGACTCTCTGCAAGCCTTGTCCGTGCGTACGCTACGGCAAAGGTGCTGGGATAAAAGCCTACAAGAAGATATCCGAGAGACAGGCAGGCGACATTCACGGATGCTTCGTGGTGCATCTTGAAGCGATTTAAGTGCTTAGCGTTAAATCCTGTCCAGGCTGAATGCGAAAACGGCTGGGCAGAGAGCAGCAGGAGGAGAGGCGTGCATTTATGAGGGGCTGCAGCACAAATGGTTTCGCTCCCTGCTATTAAAAGCAGCACTGCGAACGGCATTTGTCAATCCCTAAAGGTCTTTGCTCCACCACTGCAGGACAACAAAAGAGAAAAACCACAGGCCACTATCCTGTGGCTTGTAGGATCAAGTCTTTGGTCCTTTAAAAGAGGTGCAGAGCCAAAGCGTTTGTCCTCTCTACAACCGTGCCCTTTCCCTCTCCTCTGGGGAGGCGAAGGGAGCCGCGGCTCGGAGCTCAGCCGTCAGCTGCAGCGTCATATTCCGGGTCATCCAAAGATTGGCAGAGTCCAGGAGACGGGCAAGTCGGGCCCACGTGTTTCTACCGTCAGGAAAGAGGCCTTTAAGCGCAAAGCCATCTCTATCCCATGAAAAGCAGCGGTAGGGTATTTTACTTTGCGGGTTCCCTCCGAGGAGGAGCCGCTAGGAAAGGACACTGTCCTACGCTAACAGGAACCGGAGCGGAGGAGCAGGAGAGACACTACGTCCGCAGCAGAGCAGCCAGACTGGCTCAGAGAGCACAGATGCTGTTTGTTTTCAGCCCAATTACCTTGCTGCACATATTGTCTTTACTGCAGTTCTTGTTATCCTTGTCTGTTGCTTCCTCCTCCACCTTTACAAGGGAAAAAAATAAAAAGGGTATAAATAAGAAAGCAGAGCTGGGGGGGGGGACACGGGAGGAGACTGAACAGCTGGAGTTGGAACAGCTGGGAGAGCATCGGGATGGGATCCAGGGTGCTCCACAGATGTCAGACACGGGGAGCTACGGAGAAGCTGGGATTTGGAGAATAAAGCCAGGCAACCCTGTCAGGCAGCTCCTACTTCATGAACCGAGAGCCACAAAGACTTTGTTCCTAGGAGGGACAGAGATGTCCCTCCCCCAGCTGGGACACAAACCCCAGAGCCAAGTTCCTCGGCTCTGCACGTGGTGCACAGGCAGCGTTTGGTGCTTTAGGAAGCCGAACCCTGTAATCACACGCTATCGAGCCTCTCGGCCTCCCTCCTGCAAGGCTCAGGGCCAGGACAAAGTGGGTCTGGGTGCCAGAGGGGGATCCTGACCACTGCTCCTGCAATCGTCCACCGGGTAACGGGCTGATCGTGAACTCTGGAGCACAGCCCAGCACCAGGAGGTCTCCTCGCCCATGTCTGCCTGCAGGTCTCTGGTCACTCGAGGGAGATTCAGCTTCCACCTCTCAAGCTAAGGAAAGGCAAAAAATCCCATTTTCTTATTTCCTAGAAAACTCTTCCAGGTCTATGCTCCTCCATCCCGCTGTTAACATCCTCCGGTGAGCACGGCTGCCGCGGTCCAGACCCTGCGCTCTCCACGTGTCTCCAGCACGCCTCCCACCCCGGCACGGTGCCAACCCTGGATCCCAGCCGTGTCGAGGACAAGCACCAACTCCCCTGCCCTGGGTCGATGCTCAGCACGCAAGAAGCTTCCAGGTAAGGAAAGAAGGAGGCATCGTTCCCATTTAGGAGCCTCCACCACCAGGCAGGGCAGATCTTCCTAGGTCCCCGTTTCAAGACTTGTCGCGTTTAAGCCCTGGTTTAGGCACCCAAATCCATCAGCTGGCAGAGAGAAGCCATGAGTGGGAAGAGGAGGGCTGATGCCAACAGCATTGATCAGATCACGAGCAACAAGAGAGGGCCCAACCTCCGACAGTTGCTTATCCCAGTCCCCGCAAGGGAGAGCAACGTCTCTGGGACAGCAGAGACACGGGATGGTGATTCAGTAGCCACACACAGGGCAAACCGGGGCCAGAGCACCCCGGAGCCGGCTGAGCAAGCTGACCGCACGTGGCTTTTCTGGCTGCTCTCTACCTCTTTCCCGCAAGCGAAGCTGATGGGAGCAGTCCCTGGGGACGACAGATGTGGGGCAACCCCAAGGAGGAGCAGCAGATGGATGCAAGGTGATAAAACATCTCCCTCACGTGGGAGGAGAGGACAGAGGAAGCGCAGCAGCAGGGATGAAGAAGGCGGGGTGGGCTTGTTCGCGTGCATCTCCCCATCTGGGGCTCAGAGCCAGGTCTAAGCGCGGCTTCAACAGGAGAAAGCTGAGCAGGCATCTCAGGCTGGGATTCAGGGAAAAAAAAAACAAAAACAAAACCACCACAAAACCCCGCAAACCCAAAACCTCTCTGTATTTCTCAGCAGCTTTTCGCTGGAGGCTCTCACAACCCTTTCTGAATAATTCAGCAACCTGCATAATCTCTCCGGAGGATGGACGTTTTGCCATCTGTATTCGACAGCAGATGCCGGGGAGCGACCGACTGCAGTCGCACGGCCTGGGAACTGGTTATCCTGGTCAGTCACACCTGCACAAGGCTTTCCCAGCACCAGGAGCTCCTTGCTCCAGCTGCAACATGAAACACCCTCCACCTACAGAGCCCAGGCCTTTGAGAGCCAGCCAGTCTAGCCCCACACTCCCCAGAGACCCAGTATCACTGCTCTCAGGTCCGATTACTCCCTGTATAAGCTGCTGTTAAGGACCAGGCAGAAACACTTGCCACTACCTGTAAAAGGTGAAGCCATTTCCCTGCAGTTTCGGGTTCTTACCTCCTTCCTCCACTTGAGCTCGCAGAAAACCCGTTCGAAGCACTCGTGCATGTAGTTGAACTGCAAAGAGAAAGCAGGCATCTCTCAGAGCAGCGAGCATCCCCAGCCAGCCCTGGCTGCCAGCCGGAGGGAGGTTGGCACCGGTTGCTGGCCCAGGGCTCGCCGTGCTCTGGGCTCCTCCTGGTGGCCACCGGCCCCTGCATCACCTCCCGCCCCAAAAGCTGGAGCACAGGGTGCTCCTCCAGCTTCCAGAGGGAAAACGAGCAGGCTCCGGGCTTTTTCTTAGCAAATCCACAAAGAAGGGGGGTACTTACATAGGGGGTGAAGATTTTAACCCATCGGGGTTTCTTCTCTCCCCGTGCGTATTCAAAACAAAACGCCATTCCCTCTTCGTCCGTGTCCCACCGCTGCATTTCGTCCCATTCGAATGCTATTACCTGGTTCTGAAGGAAGACGAAACCCAGGTGAGGCCAGAGCCCAGCAGGCTCCCTGGAAGCCGGGGTTTAAGGCAGATCAGGTGGCAAAAGCGAAGCCACACAAAGGGGGAACGCTGAGGCCTCGGGCAGCCTTGCTGCAGAGACAGGTATGAGCTGAGGAGGCGGCAGTGGAGACGCACACTAACCCCTAACCCGTGCGCTCCCAGCCACTGCCAAAATCCCTCGGGAGCCCCCTCGGGAGCAGCCCTGAGCCCCAGAGCTTCGGGGATACGGTGCTGGTGCAAAGCGGAGGCAGAGGCCAGGGGCTGAGCCCAGCTCCCCAGGACCTGACAGCAGAACCCCCTTACCTCCAGCTGGCCCTCCTCTGTGCAGGCGTGGAGTTTAAAGTGCTTAATGCTGATGGCTGTGATGACATGTCCCTTCCGCCGAGAGTCACAGGAGCAATGGGGGAAGATGATCTCGTTGTAACCCTCGCACGTCCGTAACATGTTTAAATACTGCGGAGAGAAAGCTGCAGGCGTTAGCTCACTGGGATGAAGGGAAGGTGACCCCTGCATCCCCCTGCTTCTCACACCGCCTCCACCTCTCACACGCCCTGGTGAGAATGTGCCCCCCTTGGAAATCCCTGGCTTCACCCCAGCCCAGGGAGGGCTGGATCCCCTCCAAAGGAAACCAGAACCCCACAGGCAGCAGGGCTATGCTAGGGGAAGGAAGGAGACCCCTCCGGTTGCGAAACGCCCCTCCCCAGAACGTGGATCCATCCAGGCACACACGAGCACAGAGCTCCTCATGGCCTCGAGCGTCAAAAGCCCTTTCCAGGAGAGCTGGTGCAGCCGGAGTCGCCGATCAGCGCAACCGTGCTCTCCCGGGAACGGCATGGATCTGTGCAAAGCGCTAAAGCGGCCCGGGGACCGAAAGCATCGCTCTTGCAAGAGCCAACCTCCGCATCGTTACAGGCTGAAAATGAGACCAGAAAAAGAGGCTGTCAGGCAGGTGTGGGGTCCGGGTTTCTCAGAGACCTCTGATGCAAGTGCTGCAGCTCGCGAAAAGGTCCAGAGAGGCACTCTGGCTATTTCTCTCTTTGCCCAGACGAAGCAGCACTCCGAAGACACTGGAGAAGCGCTGGGAGCCCGGAGTCACAGCTCGGGATGTGGCAGAAGCCAGGAGCTTCTCCAGGGGCCGGTGCTCCAGAGCCCTGCAACCTCTTGTTGCAGGAGAAAGGTTTACGCAGGGCAGAACTACAACAAAGTCCAAAGTGACTTTTTAACCAAGGAACAAGTCACATCCCGATCGGAGGAAAGGGCCAGATTTTCAAGTGTTGTGCTCCAGGCAGGACCCTTAATAACAGGAGGGGAGGTACAGGATGAAGTACTTTGACTTCATAGGCTCTTTGGGACACACATGTCGTCTTCTTGACCTCCTGCTAGACCAGGGCCCTACTGCATCTGGTGTGTCTGTGCGTGTGTACACATATATATATGTGTGTGTGTGTACGTATAGGTATGCTGGGATATGCTTTCCAAAAATTCAGATCTTTCTTTGGTCATTAGAGAGCCAGCAAGATGAGCAGAAACAAAAGAGCCATGAGACAACCCACAGGAGGAACTGTCTATCTACTGATCCTTATCATTAGTTAATAATTAACCTCCTTGGCTTAGCGTTTTGGGTGAGCCTTCCAGGGTCGCCCCCCAAGGCAGTCCCGCAGCAGGGACCCCTGAGAACCACCGCAGCCAAAGGGGCTCGGAGGAGAGACCCAACCCAGCCCAGCCAAGTGGGAGAAGAGGATCCCAAGGCCACAGCTTGTTGGGAGCAATCAAGATGCCCACAAGAACGCAGTGAGGTGCAGGGAGTCAGGGAAAGGGCAGCCTGCCTTCATTCAGTACCGGCAGCCCCGAGCAACCCAGGAAGTTATTTACAAGTCAGGTTCTTCTGCCGTTTGATCTTCAAGCCAAGCGTGCGTCTGGCAGATGAGCTCAGGGCATCCCCTTTGCTCCCCACGCCCCAGCCAGGCCGGCTCATCGAGTCATACCGAGCCCCCAAGCATTTGCTGGGCAGCGTGATAAGAGGCAGAAGAATCCCTGACCAGACGGAGAGCTCTGACATAGGATTTGCAGTCCGGGAAGATTTCTGCTGGAAGGGGAAAAAAAAACCAAACCCAAACCCAAGGCATCGAGGGGGCAGCAACTTGCACTACGAGTGGGCCAGGACCCACCCCTCCCTTGGCTAGCCCAGCACCACCATCTCAGAAGCCGTCTGAAGCAGAAAGAGACCTTTGCCTCTCAATTACTAGAAGAGCCATCCCCAAAGGGCTGCGGGTGAAGGATCACTACGCCACATGTTCAGCACCTCACCTTTCAACACGGGCAATAACCCACAAGGTTTTATCGCTGCCTTGTTTGGAGCCGAGTCAACGGGTGATCTTGCCAAGGACAAGCCGCTGTTCAAACGTGCCAGGCACGAGGGGTGGTTTCGGTTCGTGCAGCGGCCGACCCTCGGGCACGTCCCAGCCCCACGTCTGGCACTCCTGTGTGTCTGCACGCCCTGCCAACCCCTCCGGCACTGAGCCCACACCCCCACAGCTCTCCAATGTTATTGCTTTCCAAGAAAGATGTGTTTTTCAAGGCTGGGTGCACAGAATGGTTTGGGTTGGAAGGGACCTTTGAAGATCACCTCGTCCAACCCCCCTGCCCTGGGCAGGGACACCTTCCACCAGACCAGGTTGCTCACAGCCCCGTCCAACCTGACTCTGAACACTTCCAGGGATGGGGCAGCCACAGCTTCTCCGGACAACCTGTGCCACTGCCTCCTTTCCAGACACAGCATGGCAAACAGGACAGGTAGGATAACTCACCATGACCATCTTCCTCTGCTCACACAGCTTCTGTAACTGGTAGGACTTCTCCTCTGCTTTGATGTAGCCTTTCTTGACATCATCAACAGCCTAAAGAGAAAAAGAGAAAGGAAACCCAGGAAGTCAGACTAGAGGACTCTTCACTGAGTCACAACACTTTGCTTTCCCTGGCTGGCCCTGAGGCTGCTTTGAACAGGCACCCAAACTCACGGCCCCAGAAGGTGACTGGTGTCCCCAGACAGGCAGAGGGACAGAGAGGCTCGGGGAGCATCCAGATGCTTAAGCATCTAGGGGGACTTTGGAAGAACATCCCCTGGCAAAAGAGGATGGATTTGGAAATACTGGTACCTGGAATCCTGCTTCTGCCTTCAGGCACAGGCAAGAGAGGCTCGTACAACCCTTCCACTCCAGATACACAGGCAGAGGTGCCTCCAGGACAGCGGTGCTGGCTTTTACCCACTGTGCTGCTGGAGTGGTGGCATGAAAAAAACGTATTTTTCCTTCAGGACCGAGCAGGTACACAGCCCCTTCCTTTCGCTCCTCAGCTGCACACCTCAGCAAGGAGTCCTGCCCCTGTCATAAAGCGG